AGCGCCGCAGTTAGCATACGCATATTCTATCTGGCGGTCCCACCCCCCGAGGTCTGCGACATTACCAAATTCTAAGGCGTTTATTCAAATTGGTTATATTTATAATCCATATTCAACTTATATTTATAATCCATATTCTAACTGTCAGCTCTCCACTGTAGTTCCAAAAGGGGAAAATATTGGTAAATGTTGCGAAGATGCAGTTTGTTTCTTGTTGACATGTGCATTGCTTAATATGCTCAAGTCAGACAAAGGCTAAGCTTGCAATCAAGATGTTCTTCCCAGTAATGTTCACCAGTGGTCAAAATATGTATGTTTTTCTTATATTATACTATTTCAGTGCTAAGCACCTAAGTACAGTACCCCTTCAGCAGCTGTGAAAAGCCCCTTCAACGCGAACATGTCGATAATCCTATGGCCTGTGACAATCGTGCTTGTCCAGCACATCGATCAAAACATAGATGCCTAGATTCAAACTTGAGATGATCTGGGCGATCAAGCGGTTGAGGTTCGTGTAGGTTGGGCGCTCGATGTCGAGGTTCCTGCGACAAATGTCGTAGAGAGCCTCGTTGTCCTGAGGGGCTTGCTCTCTTGCTTGCAGTTCTCGGTTTTCTGGGAATCCAACGGCAGGGGTTGAAGGGTGCGGCATAGGGAAATCTAGACTATTGGGAATCAGGAAGCTTTGTCCTCATGCCAACGCAACCAATGGCCAAAACAGCAGCTTCACCGGGAAGCTGCCAACGAAACCACGAAAACTTCATGTCTCTGAGACTAAACCAACAATGAGGACGAGTTGCGTACATGATGGTCACATCGGTGTGCTCCAACAAGGAGTGGACACACCTCAGCAACTGCAGCTCACATCTGGGCGTCGGAAGCGTAGCGAAGTAACACCTCAAGATTAGGAAGCTGCTCTACATGTCATTTTCTTCCCCAGCTTGTGGAGGATACCTCTTCATTGCAGATGCCGAGAAACAGCACGGTGTTGTAGGGTTCCACGACTGCAGTGGCGACTTGTGGGCAACACCAAACCTCGGTTTCAAAAGGCACAAGTCTAAACAACCAACATCAGTAGTAGTTAGGGTGTTTTTGCAACACCCCACGCATGATGGTTGGTGGTTCGGTCTTTCTCGGAAACGATTCATCAATGGGGAAAGGTCCCAAAGACATACCGCCAATCAAAGGTTCCACAGTATGACCACAAACTGAAAGACAGCAAAGGAGCTTGCAAACGCATCATGATGGTTACTCCCGATCTTTTTTCGATGATATCAAACAAACACACAAAAAAAAAACACAGTAAAAAAAATACATAATCAAACCAGCAACAGTGAAAGAAATCTTGCTCTTCTTGCCGTAATCCACTGACAATCTCTCCAACATGAGGCAACCCAAGCCTGATCCAGTACCACCGCCGCAAGCATTGTAGACACAGAATCCCTGCAATCCTCGGCCGCACCATGCCCCCTGATTATTTGTTACACAAAATACACACTCTCCCAATTTATCCCATTCAGGGTCTTCTTCTTCAAACAACTTCCGACTGATTGAGTTGCCTCTGTCACTTTGTCTTGCAATGGCAGATCACTTTGTCCCTTGCCCATTTGTTGGGGCAAACATGATTGGGAAAATGAAGACTTTCTCACAAGGGGTCTCCAACCAGTTCTATTTCTCCTCACCTGCTGTGTAGAAAGTGTTGGGGTCAGTCCTCACGCTCAAATTAAATATATCAAAACACAAAATGCCTCGATCAATGCAGGTGGGGAGCCGGTGCAGTTGTCAGCAAGTTTGCGAATACGGTCTAGCACCAGGTCGACCTGAGCGCGCGAAAATACAAAAATTATCAACACATTAGTTTGGAAGGAACACTGTCAAAGTATATCGTACACATGCAACAGACCCAAGAAAACTGTTGCTTCAGCTAGCTGACAATCTCTTTGCCAATGGTATAGTGCCCACGAGCGAAGTTGTTGGCAGCATCTTCCTTGCCCGAAATCAACTGCTCAGGATGGAAGAGCTGGCGATAAGTGCCTGTGCGTACTTCATCCACAACCTGTTCATTGCAGCTGCAAGAAGCCAACAAAAACATTCCTACAGAAGTTGGATTATTCTTTCAAGTATCCCCAAGTATAACTCATCTTCGTTTTCCTGACCTGCCATGTACACTCTTTTGTACACCTTCTTATAGCCCGTCTTCTTCTTATCTTCAAAGCTTAAGATTTCCAACTCTGTGCAAAAGTTAATCTAATCTATATAGAATCTTAATAAGTTTGAGACTTTACACAGCAGTTGTGCATCAATGCTACTTATGCCCGTTCAGTTTTCTAAATGGGTATATGTTATTTTCACGGGGGCGGCTTTTTCCTGCAGGTAAAATGAAGGTCTGATCCAGCGATTTGCTGGCCATGGGTAGCACAGGCCTACCGGAGCTTGGCATTCAAAGTTACCGGTTACCTGTGAATCCACGACTCGACTACGAATTCCACAGATGTGGCACAGCGCGGTCATGCCTTGCCTCAACTTCTGGCGTGACACAGGACCCAATTGACAAGGGGGAAAAATTATACAAACATAGACCCCAATCAGTGTCAAAACGATTCGTCTAGACCAATATTAGTCAAAACTCGATTTCTTGGTACGCCCTACCTTCACCCCAAGAGCAAACTGCTTCATCAAAATAATTTTGTCGACATTGACATCGCTATTTGTTTGGCCACACTCCTCTCCAGTAAACCGGGCCACAGAGACCAGCCACAGAGTTCAGGGGCGCGGCCAAGACAAGGACAAGAGGAGGACAAGAGCCGGACACAGAGCCCAGCCACACAGTTCAATGGGGGCGGCCAAGAGGAGGACAAAAGGAGCACAGAGCCCAGCCACAGAGTTCAGGGGCGCGGCCAGTGAGTGTGGCCAGCTCCCTTTTCCCGAAAGCATTGCGAAGGGTTCTTCCGGAAAATCTCTTGAACACTGACACTTCTACACTTACACTTATACACTGACACCTCCACACTTGCACTTGAACACTGACATTTCTACACTTACGCTTCCACACTTACACTTGAACACTTACACGTCTATACGTATCCCAGTGTAAGTGGAAGAGTGAAAGCATCGTCAAGGTGCAAGCAGTAAGCCAGGCTGGGTCCACGGCCTTCAACGTTGATACCAGTCCAGGAATATTAAGGGCGCAGCACCCAGATTGGACGTTTCACATGTTGCCGTTGCGAGTGCGTATGGCGCTGTCATTAGAAGCAGTCCCGCCAGGTCCAAGAGCGAACCTCACAGGGCTGTCCTTGTGAAAATTCTTTTTCACACCCCCAAAGCGGACATATGGGATCGGCTTGGACTTCATAGGTGAGGAAGCAGCAGCGGCAGGCCTTTTCAGGCACTCCGATCCAGCAATGAACCTCTGCACCGGTCCAAGCCCAAATTCCTTCACCATATGGAGCAAGCACGAGCCCAAAGAAGCCGTAGTCTCACCCTTCTCACATACCTCACTGGCAGATCCTCGAGGAAGCAAAGATGCACCAGCCAACATCATCACCATACATTTGGAGACTTCCTCCCTCTCCTCCTTCCTCTCCTCCTCCTTCCTCCTCCCTCTTCTCTTCCTCCCTCCTCAAGCGCTGTGCGCAAGCCCCTCAAATCCCCCTTGCAGTTCCACTCAGCATGGCCATCAAAATGTGGATTGGCTATTTGTGGCCTTCAGGGACATGGAGCAAGATGATCTTGTTTCTTGGAAGATCGAGATTTGAGCGCCCCCGCTAGCATGTTTTTTTGGTTGGCGGCAGCTGCGTCGCATTCACACTCACTCACTCACATTCACAGTCGCATTCACACTCACACTCGCACTCACGCTCACTCTCACTCGCACTCAGACTCACACTCACTC